AAGCTATTATATAATTAGGATTTTGAGATATCAATATATGTGTGTACATACACATGGTGTACAAATAGCAATCGTCTTAAAGAATATAACAAAAAAAAAATTATAGATAAAAAAGAAGAAATCTAATAATTTTTATTTTTATATTAATTTAGATATATATATATATTAATTTAGCCTATGAATTTTATAGTAGAATTTTTCAAAGTATAAAAATCAGAAGCTTGATCAACAGGAGATATATCTGTTGGTGATTCATTAGGAAAGTGCCAATGTACGACAATCGGTGGTATTAAACTATAGGATTTGATTTTTTTTGCTTGAATTAATTTAACAATTTCTTGATCAATTGGATATTTTGTCGGATTACGAAGAGCTTCTACTAATTTATGAGCTCCAGCACGTGAAACCGCATAGGCATATGTACAATATGGCTTCTCAGATTGATATAATTTATAAGATGAGATATCATTTTCGTTCACTATTATAGGTTCGCTAGACTTTCCTTCTAAATTATTACAATGTCCGAGATATAAAAGTTCCCAATCATTAGGTAAACTTTGATGTACTTCTGTCATAATCAGTGAAATATTAACTTCAATGTCTATATCGTCTTCTAAAATTAATCCACTACCCTGATTACGATCAATAATTGATTTATAAATGTTATAGTGAGTAACATAATGTGCTTTTTCTGAAGGTTTTAATTCGCTACTTGGATTAAGTTCGTTAAGTTGATTAGTACTATTGTCAAGAATAGCATGCCAAATTTCCTTATCAAAAAATAATCTAGCTGATAGAGATTCTAATTTTTCAAGTCGATCTGGTCGATCTGGATGGTTAACAGCGTATATATAATTAAATCCAAAGGTAGTATTTGATTCTTTAAGAACCCCTAAATAATGTAAAGCGGAATTCTTTAAGAAATAGAAATCTAAAGCTTTTTGACCAGGAGAAATATCTGATGGATTATTAGGAGAACGCCATTGTATAATAATCGGTGGCATTATAGTATATGCATTAAGATATTTGTCTTCAACCATGCCAACCAATTCAAGATCAATTGGATTTTTTAGTTCTTCAGTAAGTTTTCCTAATAGCTTACGGATACCAGCACGCGAAACAGCATAGGCGTGAGTACAATACGGCATTTTTGAATTATACAATTTATAAGATGGAGAAATGTTATTCTTGTCCTCTAAAGGATCACCCCAACCTTCCCAATTACTACAAAAACCAAGATATAATATTTCCCAATTTGAAGGTACAATTTGATGTATATCGGTCATAATAGAAGCGATATTAAGTTCAATATCTATATCATCTTCTAAAATTAAAGCACTTTCATATCCACGTTCTTCAATTAATTTGTAGGTTCTATAATGACTAAGATAACAGGCCTTATGAGTTGAACGCAATCCGGTATTTGGATCAATTTGTGCTTCTTCGGAATCTTTAGAAACTGCGGGAATAAATTCAAGGTCTAAATTAAATTTATTCGCCAAAGTTTCTAATTTTTTGCGTCTATCCGCTCGATTTAAAAGGTTAATAACGAAAATGTGACCAAAACCAAGGGTGGAATTTGATTCAAAAGTGAGTCCAAGGGAATATAAAGTAGAATCTTTCAAAGTTGGTATATCAAAAGTTTTTCGACCGGGATACTTATCCGATTGATCATAAATGCGCCATCGTGAGATAACCGGTGGTATAATAGTATATGAAGTAATTATTTCTTGTTCAATCATGTTAACCAATCCAAGATCGATTAGGTTTGATGGTTTTGCAAGTTTTTGTAAAATTTTGATAGCACCAACATATGAAATGGCGTATGCATGCGTACAATATGGTTTCTTGGATTTAAATAATTTGTATTCAGAAGATTCATCGTTATTATCAGATAAAAATGCACTAGAATCACCTTCTAATTCACTACAATGTCCAAGATATACAATTTCCCAATCAGCAGGTAAATTACGATGAGTATTAGTCATAATTGATACAATATTAAGTTCAAAATCTATACCATCTTCTAAAATTAATGCACTATCATATCCATGATCAACAATTGATTGATAAACCATATAATGACTAAGATAATGAGCTGTATCAGATGGTGCCAATGAATTATGTGGATTAAATTTTTTCACAGCATCGAAATTGGATTTAAGAATTGCTGGAGAAAATTCGAAATTTAATTTTAATTTTTTTTCTATACTTTCTAATTTTTTACGTTTATCTGGTCGTTCTGAATCATTAATAACATAAATCTTATCAAATCCGAGAGTAGAATTTAAAGGTTTTGATTTGTCGCTAAGTAAATTTATGATCGATTTCTTCAAAGAGTAAAGACCATAATTTCCTGAACCAGGAGAACGCCATGGTATGATAGGAGGTGGTAAAATAGTATAAGAAATAAGATCATTTGATTGAATCAATTTAGTTAACTCAGATTCAATTGAAAGTTTTGATGGTTTAAGCGTTTTTAATAGCTTTGAGACACCAGAAGATGAAACAGCATATGCATTTGCACAATATGTCTTCTTAGATTTAAATAATTTATAATCAGGTGAATCATTTTTTGCATCCCACACCGGGCTATTATGTACACCCTCTTGGCTATTACAAAAAGTAAGGTGCAAAATCTCCCAATCAGCGGGTAAAATTTTGTGAATATTTAACATTATTGATGTAATGTTAAGTTCAAAATCTAAATTATCATCTAAAATTAATGCATCTTCATAATCACTCTGATCGATTAATTGAAAAATATTATAATGATTGATATAAGAAAGTTTTTGAGATTGATCTAATCCATCGTCAAAATTGAATTCGTCAATAATATTGGTATCTTCGGGAGAAATAGCAGGAAAGAATTCAAACTCTAAGCCTATTTTTTTTGCTATGTTTTTCATTCTATCACGTCTATTTGTTTGATCAGAGGAACTGATAACGTAAACATGATCGAATCCGAGGCTGAAGTTTGAATGTTTAGAAAATTTTTTCACATCTCGGTAAATAGGGACTGGTCGAAGAACATATGAACACCAAAGGCTTGCATATGTAAATACAGCCAAAATTATGACGGCTACCATATACCGCATCTCGATATTTAACCGTAGCATGGCCATGGTTAAATAATATAATACGTAGTAAATTTTGTTAGGTTAATAAAGTTATGAACAAAAATTAGTACTCTTGTTTATTTTATATATTTATTATGAAACAAACTTCATTCGTGTGACAATGCACAGCCGAAATTGAATTGATGCCAATCGTACTGGTAAGTACGTGATACAGTATTTGTATTACCGCATATACACATCGATGCGCACCAATAAAAAAGTTGATCATATATTATCAACATATATATGCATATATATTGATATATACTAGATAGTTTTCCGTTATTGAAATTATCCCTTACACCGTTTTAAAGTGAATAATGCACTTTTTTGGGCAGATCATACAATATAAAATTTGTTATGAATCACCTATTTGAAGGCTTTCTGCCAATGTTATTTTTGGCATTGCATAGACCTTGTTTCCTTTGAATTCTTCGGTTACTTTTTGGGGCCTTCAAAAGCCACGTGACTATTCCATAAAAAAAAAAATACATACCCTATCGGATACAGTATTACCGATACAATTGCGAAAAAAATTTTAGGGTCAAAAACGTGATATTTTTGACTAATATGATTCGATATCTGTGCCCAGGCAAATTTGCCTGCAAATACCTTACGGTGTGAGGGATAATATACCGTATTTTGCTTTTATTTAAGAAAGCATATAAATGACAATAACCTCTATATACAATTTTGAGAAGTTATTAGGAAATGGAAGATTCATTATATAGATGTATATGGTTAATAATGGTTCGTCAAAATTACTTTGATATCAATCCGAACAATTACTTTACAGATTTATTTGTAAAATAATTTGTACTATCAAATAATATTATATAGTGTTCTGTGAAGTTACTTTAGAAGGTATTACCCTGTAACACTGTCTTCCAGGACATACTCCGACGATACAAACCCCGAAGAAGAAATAGTAAATCAAAGACACATGTGAGGCTAGGATTAGGCTAAAGTATTGACTATTTCTTTTTTTGTGTTTGTATTATTTGTGCAAATAATAAGTAATCCGGGGAAAAGCCATTTAAATGCGTCCAGTTTAAGGTATTTTCTAATTGTGTGTTTAAGTTTTTAATATATATAATTTTAAGCCATTGCATAGGTCTTTTAGGAAGAAAATCCAAGTCATATGATCGTATATACGTAACATGATCGGCCGTACTGCATAAGGTTACCGAAAATCGAATCGAAGGAAAATGTGGCGAAAAGAAAATTCCAAAGAACAACAAGAACGTCAATGAACACAAAATACTAAATAAGCTCGGAATACAATCAATAAGCATTTTATCTTCTCGGCAATTAAGGAAATTTAGGATCAACGTTTGCGTCACTCGTTTAATACATATGTGCTTAACGTTAGGCTTTGTACGCACATTTACGATCTTGTATTAGTTTCCTACTCTAAATTAATTTGGATTACCTATATTAAAATAGATCTCACATTATTTGTGTTGTACCGTAAAAGCATTCAAATTTCATAATCTAATTACGGATATTTGCACCCGTGTTTATTCTTAATCACCAACGAAGGGCAAAAGTGTATCTGATATATTGCTCATGGGAAAAAAAAATTTTCTGTAATAATTTCTTGTTATCAGATATGATATGACTGATAATATCAAAACACGTCGACGTCCTTAATTCGTATGAGTTCCGCAAAGCGAAACCTGTAACGGTAATTCTTGATTTTTATTTTTATTTTTTTTTGAATCATGTATCAACCATATTTTTCAAACAGAGAATCTGCGGACAGTGCTTAGGAATCGGCGCTGCACACTTCAACGACAGTTATTACACCGAAAGTTCATTTAGCAGACATCACTTAAGGTTAGGGTTTTAGTATATATTTTTAGCAAATTGTGATGTCGGTGAAATGTATAGTAAAGCGGATTTGCTTAGGGAAGGTGCAAGTATTATTAAATCCATCTATCCTAACTGCTAACTAACCAATGATATGAATTTGTACTGTCCTAAACACTATACGTACGTACGTCCGTAGATTTTTCTTTTTCAGGGGTTTGATAATCCCACTTCTGTAAAAGTAGTAAACGTGAAAATCTAAACAATCGAATAACTAATAATAAAGCATTCTAACAGCTCTTTAAGGTTAATGCCAGGATGATGATTTTGTATTACAAAATCATTCTAACAGCTCTAGGTTAGCGTTTAGAGTTAGGATTAGGAAAAAATAAATTGTATACTAAAATCTCTTCTTTTGTTAGGATATGAAAGGTAGCTTATAAGCCATTTGAGATTTTGCCAATAATGATCCATTTCGAAAAATTAAAAAAATGAACAATTACAGGCATTCGCTTTGCGGCACTCATATCAAGTCGTCCTAACATCACCCATAATAAAAGTTCAATCACAGAACCAATAATTATAAAGATGAAGTTAGGTTTTTTTTTATAATACGCACTTTATAAATGATAAGCACTGAAATAAAATGCCCATAAAGCTTTAATATTGCTTTATTTAATGATATATCAGAATGTGTGTCGCTGTATTAGAACCTTTAAAATTAAAATATAAGGTAGCTGCGCGACGTTGTCACGCAAAACCATGAACGTAAATTTATGAATTAACTCAATAGATAATCCGAGTACTCATTGAGTTTAAATTAGGGATGGCAAATGTTTTAAAACATGATTTTAGAACTGATGATTGCTTTATTTTTAATTGTTTAAAAATATTTTAAAATGTTTTTTAATCGATCTAAAGAATATAGCGTTTAATGCTGGTCCAAAAATTTACCGGCCAAAAATGCAATAATTTTCAGTTAAATTTTAATATTGTTGCGGGGTGAATTGTATCCTTTTACTATGAAAATACGAAAATAAATAGTTTTTAGGTGATAAGGCAACTCGCCAAAGGCGTGACGATGATGATTTAGCAATAGTTTAATTTTAAAATGATGTTATCAAGGTGATTTATTAAATGTTATAGGTAATAATGTTAGAATCCCGTAGGACCTACATTTACAAGAGAGAAATTACATGGTTTATATAACTTTCACTATCCTACGATCTCAAGAGGCTTGGGGTTAATCGAATCTTTCATCACGAAAGATCAAGGGAAAGATCACTATAACTAAAGGGGCCTACAAAGATAAATACTACATGATTATAATAATAAAGGCTTTGCCTTTACAACATTTTCTATTTTAAATATTTCTAATTATTCTTGGTTCTTGTTTTCTTCTCTTTAGATCTTCATTTGTTCTTCTTGGAATTCTTCTTCGGATTTCACGTAGGTTATCCTTTCCGATATTTAGTCAGTAAGTAAGCCTCATGCACTAGTCGATCTGGAATTCCGATGATCGATCTGCTTGAAGTCATGAGTTTGCTGCGCCGATTCGTCGATCTTCCTTTTAGCCCGTGACAATATTAGCTTCGATGTCTTTAAACTTTTTTTAACATCAGCTTCGATGTTTTAAAGCTTTTTTTAAAACAATTAAAAACATATAAAAAATGTTTTAAACCGTTTTTTTACCATCCCTAGTTTAAATTGTCACGAGTATCAAGTACATTTTTCCGATCATTTTTTCGTGTAAAAATAAGGTACAACTTAAATTCTTAATTTGTTTTGAATTGCAAATTTTTAACGTTAAAAAATTTAAGTTCATGGCTATGGGAGAAAATCTGATTATCTTCCAAAGTGTATAAAGATCAGCTTTTTAAAATAGGTATTTTACACCCATGCCATACAGTTTTGATTAGTGCTGGAACATCCTGGATTAATTGGTCATGCGATGATAAATATCATGAAATTTGTTCTGACAGAACAAATTTATCATCGCATGATGTTATCGTGCAACTATAATCATGATTTAGAAGTCATTATTGGCTAACTGAGTTTTAATTCGAGATTGTTGTGCTTATGTAATAATGTACAAAAAAAAAAATAATAACAAGAAAAAAATCTATGATCATAAGAGTTTGCACGATAATAAGTACTATTTATTTCCCCGGCACGGCAGAATAAATGAGTTATTCAATGTTTCATATGACGACATGACAGGGACTCGTGTTATTAATTATTTTTATCATTTTCTTTGTCTCCCTTTATATTTTTAACTTTTCGGGGAAATAACAAATGCCTGTTATCAACCCAGCTTTATTTGTTATCACCCGTGGAAATAACAAATAAGAAAAAAAAAGAAAGAAAGAAAATTTATGATAAAAATTATGATTAATAACACGTAAATCCCCGTCATGCGATCATAATGAGACGTGGAATAATAGTTAATTACCGTATACTTCCGAAATAAGCGTCCTTTATTGTTATATGGATGCTTATTTTCGGGATATATGTGATTACAGCTGTTTTCATAAATTCTGGCACTTGATAAAAAATTAGCAGAATGATTTTTCAGCCCATTCGATTAATTCAATTGATGTACCGTATATATTGTAATTTAAGATCCAGTGATTTATGTAAATATTTATTCACTTCTAATTTGATGTCTTATTTTCATCGATTTAGTTGATGATATAATCGGGAATATGGGTCACACTAATAGCAACTAACAAACTAACTTTGTCAAATATTTTCTTGTTATCTAGCAGGTATGACATATACACTTGCAGGAAGAATTTTATATTACTTCTGCAGATTTTTATATTAAGATACAAGCGAAAAATTGGGGCGCCACCGGCGCCCCTTTAGAGATCACATTTCTTAGAATAATAGAAGGCTTCCGAAAAATTAGCAAATTAGTGATCTCGTTAGTTATAAAAAAAAAATTCTACAAAAACATAATTACTATTTAGTGCCTGCAGCATGTTGTTAAGGTTGCTAGCTTGCATTAGAATTAGGCCGCGCAAAGCTGATTTTTTGTTTTGCTTACATTGAATCTGAAAGCATGGGTCGGTTGGTCGGATTTTGTTTTTTTCTAATTTACTGTAAATAGAATAATAAGGTTATGCAAGGTTAATTTTTCATTTTGCCAGCAAGGAATCAAAAAATTAGGTCGGTAGTCATATTTTTTGTCATTCCTGCCTGACAATTACGGGAAATTAAGGTCTCCATCGGGTGACACCGGATGAGAAGAGTAGGAAAAAATAATTGGCGCAATTGGGATTTAAAAAAAAATTGAAAAAAATGGGTCGGTTGGTAATGCAAACCAAAAAAAATCAACTTTGCGTGGCCTTATCGCAAGTACGGAAATTGCTATACAGTATGGGAATAAATTATCATAATTTCCATCATGAATTATTAAATAAAAAATTGTTATAAGAACTTGATGTTAGTTTGCATTGAAATTATCGGATTCTATCATGAGTTATCAAAAAAAAAAAAATTCCAACACAAAACTTACTCATTATACTGTAACGACAAAATGGTGACTGTAGTGGAATTACCGTAATTTCTACCATGAATTACTATAAAAAACTATTAAAAACCTCTTTGACACTTAATGCGTAGTTAAGATTGAGTTTTACCGATATTGTGATTTCTATCGTGAATTACTACTGTCTTACAGAATTTGCCGCTATTCTAATAATCATAGTAAGTGATTAAGGTTAAATTGTTTATCGTTAAGGTGTCTATCATGCATTATTGTAATTACAAACCTTAACATTCTGGCAATATATAGTAAAAAAATTCTTGTTAGGGTTGAGTTAGTTCATGTTAGGATTTCATAGTTTCTATAATGGGTTTATCATTATAAACCTACTATTCTGGCGATACACAGGATATGACTTGCTTAACGTTATCTATATCTCAGTTTGTCTAATATCATCGAAGAAACAAAGTTTGCATAACGAACGAAAGTTATTATTTTAAAAAATAAATTGATAACAACTGAGAGTAAATAAGGATAACTGGCTGTTTCTTATCCTTGATTCCACATTTCAATTTTCATGCATCGATCAATTATTATTAATTAATTCATAGTATAGATCGATTACGAAATTATGACGAAATTACGACGCAAAATTATCATATGTCGCTGATTTATCATCTTATCTTAAATTTTCCCACGTTCCGCTTAAAGCTAGGCACATCACGGGATTATGAGTTAGCACTTATGTAAGGGTTAGTTCTAACCAATCAAATACTTTGGTGCGGACATGACAGCAGGACAGCGGGTAATTTTATAATAATTTGAAATAAGAATTTGTCACATGATTTTAATAAAAATTTTCGGAAATAATGTGAAAATTTTTCCGTCTGTGTTTACATAGTACCTGCCGGATAATATACTAAACCCTACACTAACTTATATAAACCCTAGTAGTAGCAGGCGTCGAAAAAGGCGTGAAAGACTTGGTCCGATTAATTAGGGTCAAATAGAGCTCTAGATTACGTCACGAGGCTCTAATTTCGAGATCACGGAATTATAAGATTCACTTATCGGGAGGAATTAGAATTATATAAATGAGTGTTTGAACTCTATTAAGTTCTGCTTTATTGAAGATAAATATTAATTGTTTATTCTTTTAATTATATATGAAGAAATTTATAAAATTTCTTGATTTAAATTATTAAGTTGGGTAATTTCGTCAATCTATTCTATTTATGAAATATTTAACTAATCCGACCAAATTTAACTTTGCTATGCCGATTGTACATTAACGTGCGTGCATTTATCGCTGTTTGCAAATTGATGTGACTTTTGATAAAATCTGTGGGTCACTGCATGCCCGATTGTCCGATTGCAATCGATTGTACATGTTTGTACGTGATTGTGCGTGATTGTATGCAATTTCTCAGCGAATATTTTTTTATTTGAATTTTATGGATCTATAGAATTCAAATAAAAAAAAATTCATCAAATTTGATCAAGTTGTTGCTGAGATATCATCGCTCAGTTTTTTTTTTATCATAAATAGAAACTGCGCCAAATTTTTCCTAAAACTTTGAGCAGATATATTTCAGCAACCACGTGATTAAATCCGATGAATTTTTTTATTTGAATTCTATGATTCACAGAATTCAAATAAAAAAATTTTCATCGAATTTGATCAGGTGGTTGCTGATATATCTTTGTTCAAAGTTTTTAAAAGAAGCTGCGCCAAATTTTTTTCTAAAACTTTGAGCGAAGATGTTTCAGCAACTATCTAATCAAATTCGATGAAAAGTTTTTTATTTGAATTCTATTGATCCAAAAATTCAAAAAAAAAAAAAACTCGTCGAATTTGATTAGGTTGCTGCTGAGAAATCTTCGCTCAAAGTTTTTTTTTTTAAAAAAAATCAAATTCACCTTAATATAAGAGCGGAAAATTTAGTAACTCCGTAAGTTCTTTTTATTTGAGCTAAATTTTTACAAAATAAAATTTTAATACATTCTCTAAAAGTCTTGTTATTGCGAGTAATCACTTTAGACCGAACTTTTCAAAATCAGGATGAATACCATGAATTTTCATCATATCAAAATATAAGTTTTTTCTTAAAACTTTAGGCGAAGATATCTCAGCAACTATCTGATCAAATTTGATGAATTATTTTTTATTTGAATTCTATAGATTCTTAGAATTCGAATAAAAATTTTTTCATCGAATTTAATCAAATAGTTGCTGAAATATCTTCACTCAAAGTTTTAGGAAAAATTTAGCGCAGCTTCCATTTTGATGTTTAAAAACTTTGAACGAAGATATTTCAGCAACCACCTGATCAAATTCGATGAAAATTTTTTTATTTGAATTCTATGAATCTTAGAATTCAAATAAATAAAAAAATTCATCGAATTTGTTATGTGGTTGCTGAAATATATCTGCTCAAAGTTTTAGGAAAAATTTGGCGCAGTTTCTATTTAGGCCGTTCAAAGTTGCCCCCTCTCGGTTAGCTGTCCCCCCAGAAATTAAACAAGCCAATCACGACGCAGGATAATCTCCAATAATCATGTGGTTAAAGTTGGCCAATGAGATTTTATTCAAATATTCTGTGCTGTATATGTGTTTGTTTAAATTTCCCCCTCCCCCGAGCTTGAGCCCAAACATTGACGTTAAACAACCAATCAACTTTGAGCGGCCTTATGATAAACAGTGACATTTTTTTTAAAAAAAAAAACTGAGTGATGATATCTCAGCAACCACTTGATCAAATTTGATAAATTTGAATTCTATAGATCCATAAAATTCAAATAAAAAAAATATTCGCTGAGAAATTGCATACAATCACGCACAGTCACGTACAATCATGTACAATCGATTGTAATTGGACAATCGGGCATGCATGACCCAAAGATTTTATCAAAAGTCACCTCAATTTGCAAACAGCGATAATTCCATCTAAATAGTGAACAAACTTCTGATATGTTATAAGTGAAGGCAGTATTGGAATTTAAACCATGTCCAATAGGAATTTATTTGTAATGGACAAAAAAAGAACGACGATAAAATGATAAGAAACCGACCAAAATTAGTCAGAAGTATGCTATAATCAATTTTTATTTTTTTAATTGAAACTATACCAAGTGTATCATCAATCTAATTAATTGCTATTATTCCAGACATAATACTGATACATCATGGTTTGACCAAGTTGGTATTTGAGCTATGTCTAAATTTGCCACAATTGCCAACATTAGGTGAATGGTAAAATTAAAAAAGCATTTAGCCTAGGTGAGTAAATTTTAATTAAACATTGAAAAATAATGCCTTTATTTTAGTTAATAAATGGAGATTTTCTAGATGAATCGGATTTTATTGAATTTTTACATCGCCATCTTATAAGTAGAAAGAACGATACCTTCTCTGGAACACTGAATTTTAAGATTTGTTAACGCCATAGCCGACCATTAGCCGGCGGCTATGACGTAACAAATCTTAAAATTCAGAGTTCCAGAGAAGGTATCGTTCTTTCTACTTATAATATGGGATGAACAGAATTTAATTCTGAAAAACTTTAATTAAAAGCTCAGTATTTAGCGAATTGGTTATGAATAATTGTAGCCGTTCGTAGTCGAACCCATCATCGATTTTGAAATCTATAAATCATTCGATTCTCATACCTTGAACAGTATCTGAGATTGTGTTATTTGGGCATACGGACATATAAAACTTTATATGACCAAATTTGTCCAATTGCAACGTTGAGTGAAAAGATATGATTTCTTGAAATTTCAATGAATTTATAACTATCGTTTATTAATATCTTATGCCGAATCACATAATTAAAAGAAACTAAAAGGTATTTTAACCAATGTGAGTAAACATTGATTTCAAAATTTTAAACATCTACAAGCCGATAATACTGACCTTTCTGGATTTTCTCTAGGCAAATCAGATTTTGTTGAATTCGTTACATAAGAGTAGACAAATCGATGTTTATTTTGAATTTATGGTCGACGATAATCGGACTACAATTATCGCCCATCAGTACATTAAGATAAAGAACGGAGCTTTATGTTTTTTAACGACCCAAAGTTGCTCAATTTTATTCAGTGTTAGCATTTGGACATGGGCATATGGACATCTAAAATTTTTTATATAAAATTTTATAAATTCAAAATTCGCTCAATTGTCAACACTGAATGAAAGGTATGATTTCTTGATTCCTTAAATTTATAACCATTGTTTGTTAATATACGTATTCAAAATTTTAAAACATCCACAAAGCTGAATAATACTGACCTTTCTATGAAAGATTCTCCAAACATTAGTTATTAAAGGCGAGTATTCCAGGTGAATCGGATTTTGTTAGATCGAATGTTTATCTTAGAATTTATGGTCAACGATGATCAGACTATACTTATCACTAGTCCACATCGATTTGGAAAATCAACAAATCTTTCGATGCTCCATACCTTCTTTGAACCAGTGTCTGAAAAGGTAAATAACGAGATTTGCATTATTTAACGACCTCAAAGATGCTCAATTTGATTCAATGACATGGACATATAAAATTTTATAGATCCAAAAATTTGCCCAAATAAAATTTTGTATGTCCAAATTTGCCCACTGGTTTGATTGGCTTATGAAGGTGAACTTTGACAATTGGCCCATCATTAATGCTGTTTTCAATGCTTTCAATGTAAGTAAGCCAGACATATCTATTCCTTTATATAAGGCGACTAACGAAACATATTTTACTAGAGTCCTAGGAGCTAATGTTGGCCTTGATCAAGCAAAGATATCTTCATGGACCATCGTTAAATTTTTTATATTAAGAAGCTTAATTAGATGATAAGGTCTTTTTAAAAAGATTCTTGATGGCAGACAAGGTAGCGAAGAGGTCGTATAATACTTATGGGTGCAGTGTATCGTTCTGCCTGTTGCGAGGTATGTCGTGGAATATACTATAAAATTATCAAAGTTCATGGTTATAAGAAGGTGCGTTCGCGATTTTATCATGAGTCGACTGATGTCCAAAGATTAGTGGATTTCGGGGTAACTTATTCGAAGATTTTGTCCACTTAGAGTCACAAAAAGGGAAAGATCTAAAAAAAAAAAAGATTAAAAAGAAGATCCAAGACCAAAAAAGAAAAGAACATGACTCAAAGGAAGTAAGCTCCACAACAACAAAAGGGTAATAATAAGATGATATAATCGATACTCTTTTCAGCCTAGCATGTTTTTTAATGTATATTTTAACAGAAAGGCTAATTGTCCTTATTGATGGATATGACAGGCGGATGAAAATGACCATGATTATTACTCAGATGTATTTGAATTTAAAGAGGTCGAGAGCAAATTTTTGCTAAAGAAAAGACGCTGTCAGACCGGAAACATGACCTGATGACAGGTACATGAGTACGTGATCTGGGAAGTCCAAAAAGGGTTTACCATGCTTATATTGCCGATATTTATATATTTCACATCAGGGTATAAGCAATGTAAGACATATAGGAAAGAAAATATATATAATAGAGATAGCAAAGATAATTATTATAGGGGATATAGTGATTATATAAAATATAATGTGATTATATTAGCTATATTGTAAATTAAATTAAATAGTTTCATAATTATAAATAAAGATAATTATGGAAGGATAACTTCAGCTTTACTCACAATAAAAAATCATAATATCTATTACCAAACATTCCTCTTTATTAAATAAAAGTACATACAATCTAGAGTTGGACTCGAAACGAAACCTACCCGAAACTAGTTTCGGAAAGGTACTAATCCGAAACTAGTTTCGGATTT